AAAATTTGTGTGAATATATGTAATTTTTGATTTCGCTTTTGTTAAGATTAGCAGGCCCTAATAGCCAGCAAGAGTAGTAACATTTACTTTGTTGCGAAAACTCTCAGAAACAATCAGATTTTCCTTGTGTTTGGAATTTATGTCTTCTAGAAATAAATTCATCTCATACATGAATGAAATCAGTTGGCCAAACAAACTTTCAAACTCAATGTTTTGATTTTCAGATGATTTGAAACAGAGTGGCTCTCCTGAGATCTCTGGATGGTCCGCCTTCTTCTCCCTGCACTGGCAGGGTAGTGCTAGGTGTCAGCTCAGAGCTCATAAGGGCATGGAGACCCTAGAGGGAAACCAGAGCTCATGAGGGCATTGAGACCCTAGAGGGAAACAAGCAAGATGGGATTTTTGGAAACATGAGATGTCAGGATATCCAACCACACGATTGATTGACTTGGCAGACGAGCTACAATTGTAATCTGAAAATAACTACTACCAAGAATACTGTCACTTTTCTATATGAAAGAGAACAAAGAGGTTAAAAAAAGAGTACAGGCACCAGCTGCACTATTGGTAACATTGTAGGAACTTTTAGAATAAAATTATACTTTTGTGGCTCTAATCATACTATGGACATAATAGTATTAAAATGCTAAGCTAGTTTTATAGGATTTATGGCTTGCCAGTCAGAGAATGTCACCTGAATTTATCTAATTCCAGCAGCCATATTTTTGAGCTTTAGATAGTTGATGTTATTAATATTCTTAATGTCTGCTTGGTTATAATCCAATCTATAAAAGCTGTTATTACTATTGTTATTATCACTGATTAATGGTTGATTTTAAAGTTAAGGGGCATAATTTTATTTTCTTACATACATTTCTTTATTTTCACATTCTTCATTTTTCTTTACCTCTAAAGTTCGGGGGCATACATTATCTTATGTAAATTTAAATTATTTTCTAAAAGTTTGTGCTCATGGTGCATTTTAAAAAACTAGCAAATTTTAATTTATTTTGAAGTTGTATTGCTGCTCATCATAGAATCTTAAGCCGAGAGAAAATTTAGGAAATCATTTCATTCTTTCTTTGAGCTCCACCAGGTTTCTCCCTAAAAACTAGCCTTGAAAACAATGGTATCTATTTTATTTTGAAAGTTCTCTTGCGAAGTAGATCATATCAAAGTATATTTTTCACGGTTTTGGATAAATATGCTTTCAATAAAGCAGTGATTAAAATCTTTTGTCCTTAAAGGTTTTATGTTTTATTCAAAACATTAAAGAAAAAAATCTGCTTTAAAAACTCTTTTATTTTTGCAGTAACTTGCAGATTTGGCACTTTCTTGCTCCTGGCATCTTACATAGATTGTTATAGGATATATTATAGCTTTTATTCCCATGATATGTGGTCACATTAAGTTTAAAATATCATTTTGTGTTAATGTGAGTTGTCTCCCAGATCTCTGTAAATATTGATGCAATTTTATTTCCCTGATCATGTAGGGGATTTTGACATTGTTATATTTTGCAATGTATTGAGGGTTCATTTATTGGCACTACATGAAGTATGTCAGGAGACAAAAGATCTTAATGATGGAGAAAGTCCAGGAGCCTATTTAGGCCTAACTCCCTCCCACTCTAAACAGGCAATTTATTTGCCCCCTTCTTCTGCTGCTTCTTGGTAAAATTCAAATCTGACCTGCTGCTTCTTTACTTAAAATTCTGTAATGCTTCCCACCCACCTGAGGTTCCAAATCCCTATCCCTTAGCATAGCCTGGACACGCCTTACAGTTTGCCACCATCCTACCTGCCCAAGTCTCCTCTTTTGCTGTTCTGCATTACCAGGAGAGGAAATATATTCTAAGGAAGGAAGTTTGGTTTTGGAGTCAGGAAGACCTGAGCTAAGAACCTGCCATTACTGATCACCTCTGATTCTGTGAACTGACGTAGATTATTTGACATTTCTGAACCTCACTTTCCTCCTCTGAACAGGGAAATGATATTTCTTGTCTCACAAAGTTGTTGCAAGCATTAAATAAAATAAGGTGTGTGTAGTGCCCACCAAGGGTCTTCTTAAGTTAACTAAACATGAGGACTTACAAGGCTACCAGAGGCCACGTTCCTTGCCAGCAGGGCAGCTTCAAGAATTCCTCTCAGCAGGGCCTCTGCATGTTTACACAAGTGACAGCTCACATCACTTTCTGGGGACTGTTGTCTCCCCACACGACATAGTTCCAGGTACAAAGCATAAGCTCCAGATCAGCTGCTCTGGTTTAGAAGAAGCCTCCTGCTTTAAGCAGCTGATCTCTCTTATAGCAATTCTTGACATAGTTTGTAGGGTTCCCAAGAAGAGACTGCATTCAGGGAAGGCCAAAGCATAGCATTCCTATTAGACAGTTACAGCTCATTTATATTTTTTCCTGGTTCAGATGCAGTTTACCAACCAAGAATCATTTTTACTGTAAGCAGTGTTGCCTAGCAATATAGTCAATGCCTAAGATCTTACCTGGTTTCCAGGGTAACAGAGCTAGGTGGTTAAACCAAAGGTCAGATTCTCAAGCAGCAAGGGAAAAGGTTTGTTAACCCCTTCATTCCAATGTGCAACAGACCAAACCAGGGGCTTCACACATTACAGTTCTCAAAATATGGTAGTTCATTTCTTCAACAAATATTTAAGAGCTCATGCTGTACGATAAGAGCAATGTAAGACAGTACAGTGTCAAGGTACACAGATATGGCATCTACCTTCATGTTGTTTCTTCCATGATGCCCTTGATTCCTTTCATTGCCTGGAAAACTATCCTTCAAAGGTCAGCTCAGATATTACCTTTTCTCTGAAGTCTATGTACAATCTAATCCCCTAGCACTTTGTGTATATTGCCCTGAATTCATGGATTGGTCTTGGGGATCCATGAATCCCCTAAAGTAATATGCAGATTTTGTGTGCTTATAGGAATGTATGTTTGAGGAAAGGGGCTAACACATTTCTTGTTCAATGGGATCTGTACTACTTCCCCTGCACCCACCACCCCAAGAATTTAGAACCGTTACTCTGTTATGAGCATTTATAACACGGTTTTGCTATTTGTTTATAGGTCTATGTTTCTTACTAGAACATGAGTATCTTAAGAGAGACAACTGTACGTATTCGTATTTTGTGCCAGGGGAATGCCTGCATCATAGTAGACTTGTAGGAAACGTATGTTGAAAGAATCACTTCTTAGTGTGCTTACCAGGTTCAGCACCTTGATGATACCAATGATGCAGTGTATACTAATTTCAAAGGAAAACTTCTACCTTATGGTAAACTGAAATCAACCTTTCTTGTTCCTAGCTTTGTCCTCTGCAGTTATAAATTGTGTACCCTCTTCCAAACTGTAATTGCCCTTTTATATGACTCAGTTGATAGGGGAAATCAAAGGAAAATGGTTAACATGGGGGAATTGTTAAAAAAAAAAAAAAGTTTCATTCACATCTTAAATATTTTAACTTATAACATCTGAATGTACATTCATTTACTAGTATTTGTATTTTGTTAGAAGGAGAAACTTAGCAGATGTTACGTTAACCAGGTTATCGAGATTATCATCACTAAGTTGTGTTGATATGATATATTCTCTGATGTGATGAGAAGGGGTATGTCACTTCTGTGAGATTCTTTCCCCAAACCCATACCACCAGTCTAATCTTGAGACAATATTAGACAAACTGAGATTGAAGAATATTCTGTAAAACATCTGAGCTTTTTAAAAGTTTCAAGTTTCTGAAAAATAAGGAAATACTGAGAAACTATCACAGACTGGATGAGACTAGGGAGACTTGATTACTAAAAGCAAAGTGTTCTCATGAATTAGATCTTGGAACAGAAGAAAGGGATATTAGTGGAAAAACAGGTGAAATTCAAAATGTGTAGTTTTGACAAAGGTACCATGGTCTCATAAAATAGTAACATTAGGGACAGCTGGGTGAAGTGCATATGGGAACTAATATACTACCTTTGTAACTTTTCTGTAAATCTAAAATTATTCCAAAATAAAAAGTTTGTTAAAATAAAGTAATAGAAGAATTTATAGGAGAACGTTCTTAGGTGATTTGACAGTTAAGACACGTAAACCAAAATAAAAGACAGGAACACCAAAAAAATTTGTAACAGACTAATAGAGATAGGGCTTATACTCAATATAGAGCACATTTTTACAAATTAATAAAAACATAATAATATCCTGGAAAATAGTCACTAACACAATTCACAGAAGAAGCACAGTGGTCTCTAAGTAGAAAAGCTAGGTGAATCTCACCAGTAATTTAAGAGTTGCCAATTAAAGCAGCACTGAAAATAATTTCACCTATTACTGGTGCAGAAATGGAAAAATGATAATATCCAATTATGAAAAGGGTGAGTGGAGGAATTAGAGATTGGCACAGCCTTTCTGGAAAGAAATTCAACTAATAGGTGTTGGGTTTTAAAATATGCATATCATTTGTGCTTATCATCTCTCACTTATATGAGATTCTTTCTAAGGAAATAGATGTGTTCATAAATGTTCTAACAGGAGCATTCATCACAGAGTTATTGATAATGACAACCTCAAAACCTAAATATCTAACAGGTGAGGGAATGATCTCAAAAGTTTTGATGTACTTATGGAATAGAATGTTGTGGACTAATTTGGATTCATCTAAATAAAACAACAAAAGCAAGATATAGTATGTTTAGTCACCATTCCAAATATATCTTTTGAATGGATGGCAGAGAAACACAATGTCACATAAAAAGTAGTACTTATCTTTGGGTAGTGAGAGAAAAGGACGATTTTTGCTTTGTGTATACCTCCTTGCATTTTCAAAATTACCTCTAGTGAGTATATATTACTTTTATAATTGGGGAAAAATTAGCATTGCAAGCCGTGTGGTTAATGAATTTCTTTCATCTTTAATGTTCATTTAATTAAGAGAATGTTAGTTCCATTTTGTTCTGTGTAAAACGATTTTTCCTCTTTCCACTAGGAAGCTGCTCAGGGTGCTTCCACTGCCAAGTGAGAATTGGGGAGCTCTAATTGGAGAATGGTGTTGTCATCCCGACCCCTTTGCTAATAAACCCCTTCATCCGCAAGAGGAGGACTGTTTTATTGGAGACTCTTTCTTCTTGGTGAATTTAAGAACCAGTTTGTGGCAGCCAAGACCTGAACTATCCCCCATGGAGCTGTGCTGTGTTTCTTCTGACAACCATTGTAAATTGGTAAAATATCATTTCAAAATAAATGCTAATTTAGAGGTTGTCTTAGATACTGGTTTCTTCAATCTTTTCCTCAGGGCTTGTTACACAGACTGCTGTAAAGGCCAAAATTCATTATGTTCAACTGTCATCTCTATCTCTGCTTTATCAAAACAGGAAGAACATAGGGCTTTAAACTAAAACAGCCACAGGGGCCTAGAAGAATAAGGAGAGGAAGACCTCTGCAGGTGTAGAATTGGGTGTACTACCACTTTACAAACTAAAATGTCCCACTTTCTTGTTCTTAGGACAATATTCCATAATTTGTGTGCATTTTATCCTAAATAGTCCGATTTAAGTTAAAAGTGTTCTCTTGCTCCGGGATATGTACTATCCGATTAGGCTGAGGTATTTTACTATTTCTGCCCATAGACTAAACTTCTGCTGAAGTCATAAATGCAGATGTCATCAAGTAAAAAGAGGAATGGAGGAGCCCAGGAATGGAGATAAAGCTCGTGTTGCAGGGTCTAAGTTGGTGCTTGACAGCTCTCTGGTGGCTCTTATTGTATAAGTTGCTTTGGGAAGAAGGCAGTTTTCTTTCACTGCAGAGAACAAGTGTTTTACTTTATTTTAAAAGAAAATCAGTGGCATTGGCGTGACCCTATGAGAAATCATTCCCCTGATGGGCAGTCAATATAGATATTATTTAAAAAGTAAAGAAAATCATTGCCAGAGAATCATTTTAACATCTGATTATTGGTGGGAACAAAAATATTATATTTTAAATTTCATTTAGAACTCATTTAATTTTTGTAATAAGAACTGAGCAACTGCAGGAAATATGTAGTAGCTGGGCAGCTCTTAGGTTGTAAATTAGTTTTATAGAACTATTTTGAGGAAGATGAGGAAATTTGTTAAATGTGGAAGTTAAGTTGTCAGATAAAATTATTTAAGTGCCTCATCTTACACTGTAAACAGAAATCCCTTTACTAAATATGGTTCATTCTGATGAGCTATAGTTACTTTGCATTTTATATTTTAAAAGGTAAATAGTAAGTTAATATAAATTTTTTATATTTAATATGATTAATTTAATTTGTATTTTGATCTAAATATATGTACTAATACTTTATTATTTTATGTGTTTTAAATTTCATCTTTATGATTAAGCTATACATTTAAAAAATATTTGGAAGTTGTGAGCAGAAAAGTAGAGAAAGATTAAATGAGGGAAACCATGTTTCCCTTTTTGAATAAACTCAGCACTCTGTGCTGAAATATATTCTTCACATTTACATCTTTATCAGTTATGTGATGCCATTTACAAGAATTTCCCTTCATAGTAAACAGCTGTCTGATCCATTAAAGAAAGGCCCTTCATATTTTTAGACATTACAGTTTTTATTATCAAGGAGACTGTGGGAAATTCTGTACTATCATGACAAGCTGCTGTTGACAAGATTTTCTTCAAGTTAGCCTAGATGAAAGTTCTGCTTTAATTGTGTATTGTAGCAGTCCAAAGAGTGTGCCTGTGACCAAAATAGAAACAGAAATTTGGAAGGACTGCTTAAACAGTGCTCTCAAGGCTCCTGTGGGAACAAGGCTGCTCTGTGCTATTGAAAATCTTTTTTTCCTATCACCCAGTCTAGCCATCTAGCAAGGTTTTGAAATGTCACATGATAACAAAGCATCCTAATGGTATCTCTTGGGAAACATTTTTTTGGTGAGACAATATCAAGGGTCCTTAGAAATTGAAACAACACAAAGAGAAAATAAAGTGAGGACAGGAGGCTAATCCACCTCTCTGAGCAGCCCTGCCATGTCTCAGATATATTGACTTAATTAGTCCACAACAATGTCTGTCTTTGCTCTGTAGAGTTCCCACACTTAGACTGCTTCATTGCACAACTTGCTTTATTATTTCCTTGAAGGATAGGTGAAGAAAAATGCATTACAAAGCAGAGATTCTCTTTAAACAAAATGTATGTGTTATAATATGTTTAATTTAAAAGGTCTGTTTTAAAAACAGCTCAAACAAGCAAACGTGAAGCCCAACTCTATTATTTCTTTTCTTCCATAGCCTTTTAGGACTTATAGTACTTTATTTGCACCTTTGTCATTGCAGCAGTATCTACTTATTTTTAAAAGATACCTGCTGGAGATTTCCCTATTCATGTATTCATGTATCATCTCTCTTGTGCTGTTTTGTGCCTACCCACATAATAAAAATTTTGCATCTTATAATAATGGAATGATAAAGATGGCATTTCATCCTTTTGTAAGATTCAAACTATTATTCAAGACTTCACTCTTTTTTAAAGAACAAATAAAATTGATCTTTGATTATATTAATTTTACTGCTGGCAAGGATGATTAACATCTTTACCTTTTTGTTCTTTCTTGGAGTACTTAGTAATAATTAGATTTTGGTAATTTGTTTTTTTAAATCCATAAGTGTGTCTTTTTTGTGTTTTTAGAACAATGTGTTGTCAAACTCTACAGGTATTCAGAAGTATAAAAAGAATATTATTACAAACTTCAATATGGATTCATCAAGTATGCTTCATCTGTTCTTTTTTTCTGAAGTGCTTTAAAACAGTCATGTCATTTTACCCCTATGTGTTTCAATATGTACATCTACAAATAGGGATTTTAAAAATGTAGCCGCCCTATCATTATCACGCTTTATAAAATTAACAGTTATTCCTTGATGATAAAATACCAGGCCATATACAGATTTTATCAATTGTCTTAAAAGTATCTTTTACTATAGGTTTGTTTGAATCAAGATCCACACATATGAGTGAGGTAATTTGCTTGTTGTTAATCTGATTCTTAAATCCTGATTATTCACGTCTGATAAGGATATAGTCTTATGTTAACAACAAACAAACAACACTTTACCTGCCCCCTTGAAAGACAAGGTAAGATGTTCTGTGAGAGCAGTTACAAATGAAATCCATACCAGAGCACTTGAAAAAAAACATTTCTGCTTCAAATAGAAAGATTCTTTCTTTTCAAGCATTGTTATTACAATACAAATATTAGTTTTTAGTAAAGCCTTTGGTTTTTGGTAAGATCTAATGAGTGTGATCAGATTTAACTTGTACAAAATAGTACTCTTTAAAAAATATTTTTAATATCAACTTGGAACCGTACAGATATGTTTTACTGTAAGAAAGCATGAAACTGCCAGAATACCACTCTTTATATACCATACTGACTTTCTGAGCTCTCTTCTTCCTGGACCTGAACAAATTGGCACCTTCCTAGGTTTCTGTGTCTGTCTCTTACCTCTGATGGGAATGACCCCATCCAATTTCCCACCTGGGTCAGGCTCTGAGACCTGCCATTTGTGATGTTCCTGATAAAGGTGTCAGTACAGTGGCCAGAGATGGCACACTGTGGGGCCCACTTTGTGAGTGTGCCTGGATAAAAGTTTGAGCCAAGTCTGAGCTGACTTACGAATTTCATGTGTGCTTTTGTTTTCTCAGCAGAGACTTTTAGAGAAAGTCTGCAGAATCTGTCCAAATACTGCAGCTAGAACAGGATAAAACGGAATAAGTGTTTATATTACTGAAGGTTACTTCAGTGCATGAAGGGATTCATCTCAGGAGTTTCTAAATAGAAGAGCTGTGGACATCTATGGATTTTTTACTAGTTGTCTGTGTTTGATGCTAGGAGAAGGAATAGGTCATTAGAGAAAGACCCCAATATGAATTGTGCTGTTACTCTTGACTTTGACCTCTAATTGAATATATATATTTTTACATCAAGATCTGATAACACACACACACATTCATATATACATACACACATATACAAACACATGTCAGAAGTTTCTTGAAGCAGAACTTGGTGTTTGAAGAACTGCTGTATTTTCTATTCTATTGTATTTCATTTTTAAAAAACACAGTAATCCACTGAATTGGTTCCATGAATTGGTTCCCACTAATGGGATGCATGAACTGTAGTTTGGAAAACACTTAGCATAGTGTTTAGAAGCGTTAGCATCAGAGGGACCCAAATTCAAATATCAGCTCTGTCAGTTACTAGCAGAACATCCATGGAACGCAATTTAAATGTACTTCTTCTGCAACTTTTCAGGAAATTATGCCAAGGAAAAAATATTTATACTCAAATGTATATTAATCAGGAAAAATTTTTTTCGTTAGATTAAATACACGTTATCCCACGTCAGAAGTCACTGTCCTTCTTTACTTCAGCCTACACCTATTCTCTGGTTTCCCAGGAAGGGTACCCTGGAGTGTCCAGAGTTGCAGAATCTCCTTTTCCCTGCCCACTTTATATGGCTTCTGCCTTGTTGCAGTATATCTGGATGAGAGGAATGTTGTATGGTTTTAACAAAGGTACAATTATGGATGTGAAAAGGAGTATTCTTTGTTTATTGATTAGGCAAATGCTATTTTAATCTGTATCTCAAATAGTGAATTTGGATTTTTGAAGGTTAGGATTGTTTCAGGAATTATTCCAGAGCACTACCTGTCTTTCCAGTTACAGTGCCTATCCTAAGTGGAAAAAATGAAAGTATGTGAACAGACTAGATACTTTTAACTTTTCATTTGTTGGTAGTTAAAGGTTATAGGTTACTTTGATATGAATTACACTGGACTAGGAGTCCAAATAGTGTGAGTTCAAGTTCTGATTTTTCTGTGTTGTATACACATGAGTTGAGGCAAGTCGTCAACCCTGTCTTGTTGTCCACTATCTTCCTGTTCTAAGTTATAAGGCTATTTGGAAGCACTTTTTAGAAATTTAAGGTGCTACTTATTCAAATTATTTGGCAATATTTGAATTATCAAGAAGTGGCTAGTTTTGGAAAAGTGAATCTGTGCTTTATTGTTTCTTAAGACTTGAAAAAATTATCTCTGTGCATGTGAATTATGCATACAAGCTAAATGTATTTGCAGTATTTAGTAGAGGGCAGAATAAAATGTAAAGTTCAATGTATACCCTGGGGACTATGTTAAAATTATATATTCCTTTTAGGAAAAGCTGAATGACATTTAAATGACATTTTTCTGTTCTGCAGGAACCAAAGGCAAATACCAAAGTAATTTGTAAGCGTTGCAAGGTGGTGTTGGGAGAGACCGTGTCATCAGGTAAGAGTTTCATAACAAGAAGCCAAAATGATTGCCTTCTTGTTTAAAAGCCAGAATGATATCTTATAGTAAATATATAAGAAAGATCGATGATTAATACATATTGTAAAATTGGTGCTTTTCAAAATAGACCCCAACTAACATATCATTCAATATACCAAGAAGTTTCTGTATTTGGACCTTCATAAGTACAAAAGTATTGAGTTATAAGCATTAAGAAGTTGAGTCATTTTCAGTGTTTCATAGCCTCTTTGTAGATATAAAGTAATAGTATAAAGTTTGTACTTGGGTCTATTTTAAAGAAAATTGGAGCTTTTTTCTTTTTCTTTCTTTCTTCCTTTTTTATTTTGTAATGTTACCTTCCTGGTAACTTACAGAGCAGAGCCTTTTTGTTAATACAACTCCTTAGTTAGTAGAATTGGTGCCCAGAGATGGAGAAATTGTTTTTCTTGGCTGCCGTCTGGCTTGGGGCTGTATTTTGGGGCTGGGGATGGGAGAGGACCCGTTGAAATGGAAGAAAACACATTCTGAGTTTTGTACTTTGTCCCTTATTCTTTTTTATTTCCCAGTAGCATTGATTATATTTTATGTAAGCTCTGTTACACTACTTTAAAATATAATAATGAAAATCCTGATAATTAAAATGCATTGCTGTTTAAAGATACAGTTTAAAGTGTCTAGAGAGCTACAACATGCTGTGTTAGCTTTGTGGATGATGAATAATTGCTGTTAATACAATTAATTAGAAGATGTAATTTATATGAAGCAGTTGTACTTAAGGGAAGGCAGATGATGGTATTTTTTTGTTTGTTTAATCATCAGAATCTTGTAAGTAGTTACTTGTTCACAGTGAGCCAAAAAGGAAAATCGAGTTAGTAAAGGATACCATCCTCAATGTCATTTTTGGAAAATGAAAGCAAGCCCCTGAAGCAACACCTTAGAAAATGTTAAGGCTCCTGGTTAAATAAGGTGAACTGATTTTTAAATTCTTTTCTCTCTGAAGTCCTGTTGAAATGTCAGTTGAGGAATAAAAAGATATATATCTATAAAGGCAAAGAGAAATGGAGAAGAGTTGACAATGACATAAACAAGAGATGTAAACAGACTTTTTTGGAATACACTTGGCAGCCTGAAGGAAGTTGCAGCTTCAGTGTCCGTAGATAATTTGGATGAGGAGTGAGCCAATACTCACTGTAGAACCCTAGAACAGGTTAGAATTTGGAGGCAGCCAGTAACAGGGAAGGCAGCCTGAGGCAAGGAGCTGGAAGCAGGATGATTGGTTCAAAGTGTACATATGGAGCTACTAGATTTCCAGATTTCCCACTTCATTTTCAACTTGCTTATATAATCCTCAAGGTGGGAGATTGGAAGACCACCCCCCATTTTTTTTTTTTTTTTTTTAATAATGAAAGAATACCAACTAGAGGAAAGACTTGCAGACACTGCTTCTTTGGAGTCATTCAACCAAAAATGAGCTTATATTATTGTTCAACAAAAATGAGCTTACTGTAGGCACAGTGGTATATGCCTGTAGTCCCAGGTACTTGGGAGGCTGAGGCAGGAGGGTCACTTGAGCCCAGGAGGTTGAGGCTGTAGTGCACTATTACTGCACCTGTGAATAGCCACTGCACTTCAGCTTGGAGAATATAGGGAGACCCCGTCTCTTAAAAAAAAAAATTATTGGGTACAGGTACAAAAAACTTGTATTTGTTCATTCACTGGGTATAGGTACAAGAGCTTCCTCTCAGCATTTCACTGCCTTACACTAAAATTGAAATGGATTGTTGAGAATCATCAAATATTTGAGGAAATCTCCAACAAAAAAGAAACCAAGGCAAATACAGTAAATAATTTAGCAAGCAGATTAAAAGCACTGAGAAGAAACGCATTATGTATACCAGAAGAAAACCTTTAAAAAATACATAAAATGCCCTTGGAGAAATAAAATCATTGCTTCCATAATTCAGAGAATATGAAATTTAAAAATGTGATACTTCAAGAAAGAAAAATCAAAGAATTAAAAGATAAAATTAAAGAATTGGGCCAGAAATTAAAACCAAAAGACAGAGATTGAAAGTTAAAGAAGAGGCCAGGCACGATGGCTCACACCTGTATTCCCAGTACTTTGGGAGGCTGAGGTGGACAGATCACCTGAGGTCAGGAGTTCAGGACCAGCCTGGCCAACATGGTGAAACTCCATCT